ATTGGCAGAATTCACCACCTTCATCCCCTCTCTATTCACCACCGGCACTTACCGTTACACTTACACTTTCTTCCTCTCTTTCTGTAGCAGTCGTTGATCTAAGGTTGCGTCGATGTTTCTTTTCTACGTTCTTCGGAGACAGTTATCACTTCGTCGCAGTACTTGTTGCGGTGTGTATAAAAGCCCGTACTGCAGCGTACGATTCTCTTCAGATTTCCTCAACCAGTTGTGCTGAAGAATCTCACCCGTGAAGAAAAAGGAAACTTCAATCTACAACTTGAACAAACATCCAAACCAGTCAACATCTTTCTTTCCCAACTTTACCGATATGGTCGCTGCCTCTTCTTTTAAATACCTTCTCCTTGTCCTCCTCTACCTGTGGCAACTGATGGCAGCCATCTTTCGGTCCATCTACTGGTTCGTCCTGCAGCGAACCAGTCGCATCAGCCGCCTAGCCTATCAACTGGAGCAGCTGAATGCCCGTGAAGAGGAGCTCAGCAGTGAACTAGCCCGTCTCAATGAGCAGTATCTCGCCAAGTCGGCCGCCATTCAGGCTCGACGAAGTTCAGTGGCGCTGGAGCGAGCCAAAGTGCTCGATGAGCTGGCAGAGACAACAAAACTCAAAGGTGGCAAAGGTGACAATGGCAGCACGACGACGACGACGACGATGACCGTAAAAACAATTCCGGTGATCAGCTGCACTGCTGATCAGAACGCTGTCAAAAGCTCAAAAACGGCTTTGAAAAAGTGCAGCGAGGAGAAGAAGATCAAACCAAAGCTGACCATTGAGAAGCCGATGAGCTCCCCAGTGCTCACCAATGCTCTTCAGCGATCACTCAGTCTGACCGTGGGCAATGGCAATGCAGGTGGTGGTCGTGAATCTCCAAACGTCATCACCCGTCCAATCTCGCCCTTCCTCGCCGCCAAGGCGCTCATCTTTGAGCGGCCGAGAACGCCCACTGTGGAGCACTTCACCTACGCCAAGCAGCAGTTTAAACCACCCTCCTCGCCGACTAGCGTCACCGCCGCCATGGAGGCAACGCTGAAGCGAAAGGAAGAGCAAGTGCTCGCCGCCGCCGTAAAACAACAACAACAACAGCAGTCTGAGCAGACCAACAGCAGCTTCAGCAAGCTGGTCGGCTTCAACCTGGCCACCCACCGCGTCAATGAGTACATCGACCTGATCCTTGACACAACCCTCACTGAGTTCAGGAACTGTGACCGGGAGGCGACAAGTACCAGCACTAGCACCAACAGCTCTGGCGGCGGCAGCAAGCGAGGAGAGCGCTTCCGTGCGACCATCAAGGAGCTGTACGGCGATCCAGAGTGGCGACCCTTTATCAACGACCTCAGACAACAGTACAAGATTTTCTGCTACCTTTGAAAAAAGGATGATAGTGATGAAATCTACTTCTTTTGTGATTCTTAACTGTGAAACTGTCAAACTTGCCAATACTACTTTGCCGTTTTTTTGTAAACTTATTTTTTTCATTGCTCAACTTGATAACTTGAAAAGAGCTATAAATAAAAAAGTTAAAATATGAATTGCTGAACATGCGAATCTTTTTCTTACATAGCAACAAAAAGTTTTTAAAATTGTGTAGACAAGAAAACTTTAGATAGATTTCTAAATTAAAAAGTCTCGCTAAAATGTGTAAATGGAATAAATTAAAGTTTAAAACTGGTAAACAGTTATAACAAAAAGTTATGCGTGCACTTGCTGGTAAAAAGTACAGTTGTTGTCAAGCATCATTATCTCCAAATATGCTAATGTATTTATCTATTTTTAAATTGTGAGATAATCACAAAAACCAATATCCATTCACAGACGTCAAGTGAGATAGGAGNAAACAGTTATAACAAAAAGTTATGCGTGCACTTGCTGGTAAAAAGTACAGTTGTTGTCAAGCATCATTATCTCCATATATGCTAATGTATTTATCTATTTTTAAATTGTGAGATAATCACAAAAACCAATATCCATTCACAGACGTCAAGTGAGATAGCAAAAAAACAAAAGAAAGAAAAACAGATGAATCTAATGAGAAGATTCAAAAAAATGAATTTTCATACTAACACACCAAATAGCGTAAAAGGACACCTAGACGAATGTTAAAGTCGTAAATAAAAAAGTAATAAAGCATTAAAGCATAATGGCGTGATTAATGCGATACGTGTTTGTGGTCGAGCAAAAGGACGATGNATTTTCATACTAACACACCAAATAGCGTAAAAGGACACCTAGACGAATGTTAAAGTCGTAAATAAAAAAGTAATAAAGCATTAAAGCATAATGGCGTGATTAATGCGATACTTGTTTGTGGTCGAGCAAAAGGACGATGGTGGTGACAATAATTTACATAAATCTACCTCGACCATGGCCTTGTCTGCTGGNAGATAATCACAAAAACCAATATCCATTCACAGACGTCAAGTGAGATAGCAGAAAAAACAAAAGAAAGAAAAACAGATGAATCTAATGAGAAGATTCAAGAAAATGAATTTTCATACTAACACACCAAATAGCGTAAAAGGACACCTAGACGAATGTTAAAGTCGTAAATAAAAAGTAATAAAGCATTAAAGCATAATGGCGTGATTAATGCGATACTTGTTTGTGGTCGAGCAAAAGGACGATTGTGGTGACAATAATTTACATAAATCTACCTCGACCATGGCCTTGTCTGCTGGAGAAGTACCGCCATTTACAGTTGACAGTACCTTGGTTCAAAAGCTGTCTTTTCAATTTGGTAAATGGCCCCTTCTTATTATTGCCTAAGATTTCAACTTTTTGTTACTCTGAACAGAAACACTTTCCCCTATGTGAAGATGACCACAACAACAGCTTTCACTGTAAAGACGGCTGATCTTCACTGATCAGCAGCAGCTTTCAAGACAGGTTTGTCTTGGCAGCACTTGAAAAACAATCTCGTAAAATCAATAAATAGCTTACCTACCTTGCTTTTGCTTCTGTTTCGACCCCTCTTCAGAGAGAGGCAATCCGGACAGATATTGTACGTGCACACATCGTGAAAGTCTGTAAGAGAGAAGAAAGTGAGAGGATGCTCTTGAGGACATTTTCTTGCATCTACCACCACCAGCAGCACTTCTACTGAAACTTGAAAGTAATTTTCAACAGGTAAGTGAAAGTCTGTCCACAACGATTGTGAGAGAAAGCGAGAGTGCACAGGCATCACATGTGTCTGCTTTGTGCACTTACTTGCTTACGATCGTCACCACAATTTCTCTCTTACTTTCTTTCTTCTTCTTTTACAGGTAATTTGCAATTCTTCATTATCCACACTTAGTCTCTTATCAGTTCTCTTCTCACATGCTGCACACAGGTTGCAGACTGCTGAAACTGGCTGCTGCTGCTGCATCTCAATTGATCGTGCACACTTGATCGTCGCTGTCGTCGTCGTCGATCTCCGCCTCTTCTGAGCAATTATCGCCGTGCACCGCCAATTATAAAAGCATATCGTCGACGGGTGCGATTGCAACAGTTGCATTTCGATGTCAGTAGTGTCAACAGCTGCTGATCCACAACGCACTATGAAGCACATTATCCTTACCTCGGTGGTCGCGGTCCTCCTCAGCCTCGCTGGCAGCAGCCTTGGCCAGTACACCAAGGCGGCCAACTGCTCGGTGGACGCCTTCGAAAACAGCTTCACCCGAGCCTACGGCCATTTTGGCAGTGAAAAAGCGAAGCTTCCGGAGACCCAGGCGAAGCTGACTAAATACTGCAAGTATGTTTCTTGAAACATCAGTAATAATTGACACAAAAAACCTGATTGATTACCTGATGTTATCTGTTGTTAAACCCAGAGCCGTCGTCGCGAACAAGGAGTTCTCCAAGGACTACGGTGACCGCTGTCTGACTGGTACCTCGCAGACGCTCCTCAATCTGCAGGTGTACAACGTCGACCGCATCAACAAGCCGTACTGCGCCAAGAATGGCAAAAAGAGGGAGGCCTTCGTGCGCTGGTCAAAGTGCGGCAATGACGCCAAGCCGGAGACGAAAAAGTGCTGGAACAACATGATCAATGACATGGCCAATGCTCGCAAGGTGACCAACGTCAAGAGTCGCATTCCCATTGTCTGCTGCAAGGTAACTAGGAGAAGGCAAAGTTATTAGGCTTTTTTCTAACCATAAACCTTTGTTTCTTACCTTAGTACTACGCCTGGATCAAGTGCATGAAGAAGTCTTGGAAGAACACCTCTACTTGTGATGATGAGGCGAGAGAAGGCTATGAGAACCTGATTCACAAGGCGACCGTCGATTCGATGAATCTGATCTGCAACCGATACGAGGATGATGACACCAAGTGCAACAAGCTGTTTGAGGAGCTGCCCAAGAAGAAGAACAAAAACCTTCGTGACACTCCCATCTCCTACATTTTTGACATCTTTGAGTCGCTTTAAATAGTCTTGGATAGCTGCTTTATTTTTATTCTTTCTTTAGCATTAGAAAAGTGTCTTGTAATATTTTTTTACAAATACTTTACACACTATAAGTCTGTGAATTAATGGTCAGTTTCTTGTACTTGATGTCTTCTATGGCCTGGTGCTTGACAAAAAGTTTTAACTTTTCAAAAGGTTTATAATGATTATCTTTAATAAAAATTAATCTCGTTTTGTTGAAATAAATAAAAATTCGTGCTTTCACAAAAAAAGATTGCATAGAAAAAGCATCAACAAACAAGTTTAAATAGTGACACATCCTCTGTGAGCCACCCTCGAAGACGCGCCAAAAGTTTCAAATCAAAACAAAAGAGGAAAACACACCTGAAAAATGCTGCGGCTGCCGTTTTTATTTTGTTGATTTTTGGCGCCTAACTCCTCTTTCACGTCCCTTTTCGAAATCTTATAGTCAAAAACCTTCATCACTTGCATCTAAACGTGGATGTGCACAACTCAACGGCTAACTGGTGGGTTTGGTGAAGTGGACGGCAATCAGTTTGCAAGCAACAGAGTCCACAGCCACACATTTTAAAGTCAAAATGAGCTACGTGTTGATGCCCTCCGAGATTGCTCGGCTCGTTTACGGTATGTGTTCTTTAGCAATCTTTTATGTTCTTCATCTGATCAAAATCTAATGCAGGTTACATTGACGATCTTGATGGATGCAAAGACGTTGCTAAACAGTTTTTGGAGACGTGCCCGTTGCTACGAGAGTTTGCAGAGGGTTTCCGTTGTGGTGCAAGGTACTCTGCAAAGATCAACAACAGAACGCTGCTTGACTTTCTCCAGAATCTTCCTGAAGAAAGGAGTGATAACTCGATCTCAACAAACTCATTAAAACCGTTCAATGAGGATTTGCTCATCTCTACCGTAAAAGCCACCATTACAAAAACATTTGAAGATGCTTTACGAAAAGAGTCAGCCAATAGCAGTAGATCATTTAGTCAAATCAAAGAAGAACAAGCTGAATTGAAGTCAATTCTAAAGAGGGATCTACTTCCGAAGATTCGAGAAGTTGTAAAAGATGCCGAAAGCAACATACTGCAATCATTTCGTGATCAGAACAACATTAACTCTTCTGGAAGCACTCACTTGCTGAAAACGCCAAAGTATTTATTTTTGTTTTGATTTAAAGTCAGTTGTTTAACATATTTGTCACCTTTTTCCTAGGAGGAATCACAAGTATCAAGGATTTACCCAGCAGGACCTTGAGAATGGGCTGGCAAACACTTCAAAGGCTCCATTTTCACCCGCTGCGCATTCTTCGATGTTGAGTACGCCAAAACGAAAAAGCACGACTCCGAGGCGACTAGCTCCTCACACTTCCAGTGCTGGACAGTATTTAGCATCGAGGATACCGTCAGAACAACCTCAAGACTCTCCTCAGATTTCGTTTCAAAGTAACTCGCCATACACCGACCCACCGTCACAGTACTCGCAAATTTCAGCCTTTACCTCATCACCTGGATGCACCGATTCATCTGAACTTGATCTCCAAACGTTCCAAAATCAGGTGCTAAGCGATTTTGTTGAATGTGGCAGCAAGCCTGAAGTGGCTAATCGTTTAGCTGGCCTGATCAACAGTGCGCTCGAACCTTTTAGGCCAAGCAACACGGCCTCCATTGAAGAAACCAATAATGATGCGGCTATTCAACAGAGTATGCAACAGCAGCAACAACAACAACCGCTTTCAAATAATGCCGTCAGTACTGATACTCAAAATGATAACCATATGTTTAACCATCCGGACCAAATGACCGAGTTTCTCGGCACTGCGACCAATGCCTGTAATGAAGATCCTGATTTGAAGAGCATGGTGGACAGTATCATTTTTTATACGCCATTCAAGTCGTTTATGCCAGTTACTCCCAGCTCCGGCTCTACCTCTAACGGCTCACTGAACACTCCTCTGGTGAACTTTTGCGATACTTTGTCAAACAAGGAAAATACCGGAAACACTGATTTGATGCCTGTGAAAAATTTCAACAGGCAGCTTGCATCACCTGCAAAGAACAACAACTCACAGTCTCGGCTCGAGTCGTCACTTTCATCCGTTTCTAACTCGTTTAACAATGCTTCTGCTGGTAGTGATGACATTCATAATGTGACCGTCGTTGAATCCACCGCAAAGCATAATACCTCGACAAACAGTGCTGAAAACAACTCGTCTTACCTGTCTTGTAATGATTCGAGTAGCAGTATGGCTAATGCGTCTTTAAGCAAGTCCAAACCATCAACAAGTTCGCAATCACACCGAATGGACACATCCCTCAACAGTAATGAGCCAAACGGTGGAAGGCCAACTCAGTCATCATCATCATCAATATCCAAACCTGTATTTTTAAATCAGCATCTAAAAAGCAGCTCAAACACCAGCAAAAAGCCATCCTTTTCTCGGCTAGTAGCTCAACAGGAGAGTATTAAAAAGTCACTGAATTACTCTGGCACGTTTGATGTCAGCTTTAGCAGCTCCAAAACTGAAAAAGAAAAGCTCGTAGCTGTACCATCAAAGGCCAATAAAGGGCCGTCATCATCTAGTCAAGGGCGCCTTCCGCTGACAACGACCATAACTAAAGTAAGCGAAGGCGTCGACCCACCGACGAAGATTCCTACAACAAATTCCACCGCCAGCTCAGTTCAGACGATCGGCTTTCAGGCAGTCAGTAGTCATCAGGTGATCAGCAGCACTCAGGCGAACATCTCAGCCTCTCAGCCGACGCAAACGACTTTCATCGTTCCACCGGGCATGACGCTTTGGGATCCTGACACCGGCATTGCCACCAACACCGCCGACCAGCCGCTCATTGTTCAAGGGAACTATCAGCTGTGTGACTTTCAAACGCAAATCAGCAGCACCAGTCAGAACATCTACTTACCTCCTAACTTTGGAAAAGGTGCCGGCAATCAGCAGCAGGCAGAGACTGCGACTGCGGCAATCACCACCTCGTCGATGCCCATGATCAGTCTGGTTAATGCGGGAAACTCGAGACTGATAACCGATAATTCAAATACTAATTTTAACGGGAACAGAAAGTCGGCATCGAACAACAGACCGAGCATTTTGTCAAAGTCTGGCCCCAACAGCCCATTCTGCAAAGGGCCCACTTCACAAAGTGCACACCGGCAGCTGTCTGGCGATCCAGCATCGCCAACCTTGCGATCTCGAAAGGAGCCACGTAAATCAAACCTCGGGAAAAGATCATTTCCGGAAGATGATGATGAGCCGGCTGGACAAAGACAGACCGATGAGCAGCGATCACTGCCTAGCCAGCCCAAGAAGGGTGGAGCGATTAATGATGGTCGAGTAAAGGTAATGAAGCACTTGACTTACAGTAGTAGTCGGTGAGGTTACATTTTACTTTTGCCTCATTTTAGGCTTTGATGACTGCCGACATCGATGTCTTTCTGCAAAAGGTTCACAAAGGTTCACAACCTAATGTTGACAATAAAAGGTCCAATGATGCTGGCAGCTCGAAAAAGCGTTCCTCATCAGCCAGGTCAGAAAGGTCCCAGAAGAAATCGCCCGGCAGTAAAGGTACCAAACGATTTGGGGGAAAGGGTTCTAGAAAATAGTGCCGCAGCTACTTTACTTTTGCGCACATTGTTATTTGCACAAGCAACTATTTATTTTTTTTATCTACATACTTTCATCTGGCATTTAGAGTTGTTTCATAGTGTGAAACAGTCTTTGATATATTGATGCAACATTGATGTAAATATTTCAGTGTATTCCGGTGTTTTTTGTATTTTACAAGTCCATAATAAATAGTGGTTTTATTATCGTGTTTTTGATAAATAAATCGATCGAGATAATAACAAGATGCCAAAAAAAGTTATACATAGAGACATTTTGAGATTGAGAAAAGAGAAAGAGAAAAAGTGTCGTCGGTTATAAGAGAAAAAGTGAGAAAGTGAGAGAGAGAGAGAGTTATGTGTGGATTGGTAGTGGTAGTGAAAGTGTGGGTGGGTGTGTCTGTAGAACTGAAGAAATGCAGATCTGTGTGGCCTGCTGAAGTGATGCTGGCAATGCTGAAGTGATGTGGGAGAAAAAGAAAGGAGGGAGGGAAGGAGGAGGTGGTGCTCAGATAAGTCAAGTGGAATTGATTCCAGTCATGGAGAGTAGTGGTGGTAAGTTAGAAAGAAGTGTGTAAAAGAAGTTTATGAAAAGAAGGGGAAAAAAGATCATGCAAGTGGTGCTGGTGCTGGCGCCTTAGGACGTCTGCACCTGATCGGGGTGAACGCCGTGTTGACACTTGAGGTGCTTTCGCAGTGTAATTCGCCAGGTGTACTCCTTATTGCACAGGTGGCAGATGTACTTCTCGCCGGAGTTGAGGTGCACCGAGGTGATGTGGTCTCGCATGGCGTGGTAGCCGTAGTAGATCTGCGGACAGTGCGGACACTTGTGGTGGGCCTTGTCAGTCCGGCCGCTGCTCATGCTCCGCGCGAGGTTGTGCTCGTCGGGAATCGACGGTGGGCGGCCACGGCGGGAGCGATTCGAGGTAATGCCTGATTGCTGTTGGCCACTGCTATTGCCACCAGTGTTGCTGCTGTTGGGTGGTTGTCCCTGCTGTCCAGACTGTTGGTAGTTGCCCAGCGCTGAACTGTGGTGATTGGCCTGCTGAGAGCTGCTGGAGTTCAGTAGACTGTTTGCTGTCAGCTGCTGCTGCTGCTGGTGGTGACTGGAGGAGGTGGAAGTGGTGGTCAGTGAGGGCGAGGAGGACTGGGATGAGGAGGAGGAAGAGGACGACGAGGAGCCAGAATGGTTTAGCGCCATCATCGCCTTGCTCTTGCTTGAACCGCTGTGGTGATTTGGTGGTGGCTGATGATGAGGATGGCTGAGGTGATGGCTAAGGGGGTGGGAGTGTTGCTGGTGCTGGTGCTGGTGCTGGTGGGACTGACTGGACGACTGCAGATGAGCTGCTGAGGGGGGAGGGGTCGGGATGGAGGAGTTGTGGTACAGGGAACCTGCAGGGGAGTGTTAGGATTAGAATACTTGTTTTTCTAAACCCCGCACTGATAACTTACCGTATTTAGGCGGTCGACCACGGCCTCGCTTTTCAGTGCCATTGTGGAACATCAGGTGGGGAGGAAGGCCAGAGGAGGTGCCGTTGCCCTGCAAGGAACTCCCTCCTCCTCCAGTACCACTGTTCTGCTGATTCATATTGGCCGCCGCAGCAGCAGCCGCAGACATGAACAGACTCGGATTGAAGGGATAACCGGAAGCGGCTGCAGCGGCCGCCGCTGCAGACAGCAGAGAACTGACGGGCAGCTGAGAGGCAGCGGAAGAGTGCTGACTTTCGGAAGATGATCCCAAACCACTGCCTCTGCCATCATGGCCTAGTGAGGCGCCAAAGTTGGCCAGGTTGAAGCTCTCTTCAGCATCGGCGGCTGCGGCCGCCGCCGCTGCCGCAGCAGCTGCAGCGCTCGACGATCCCGCCGCACTGGCCGCCTGTTGGAAACTGGCAAAGGTGCTGGCGGCGATTGCCCGAGCAGTCGCATCGCTGATCAGTGAGCTGCTGCTGTTGTCATCGGTCCTGTTGCCACCACCACCACCGGCAGAGGAAGTAGGCGGTAGCTGGCCTGAAGAGCTGTCACCCTTCGAGCTGCCCCGCTCACCGGAAGCTGCAGAGGCTGCCGCGGCAGCGGCTGCCTCCATCAGTGAGACCATGCTCGGTGGGGAGCCCTGTGAGAAGGACTGACTGTTTCCACTACCAGCACCTGAATTACCACCACCACCACCACCACCTCCAGCACTACTGCGAAACTGATTGAACACCTGTGACATCAGCTGTAGGCGAGCCGCCGCCGCCGCCGCCATGGCCATCTCATGGGGCGGTGGCACCATCGACGATGAGGAGGAGGAGGTTGACTTTGAGAATGACCCGGATCGTTCTCGCTCTGAGCTGTGGTGGTTGCCCTGCTGCGAAGATGCAGCTGCTGCGGCTGCAAAGAGGGCCGATATGTTTTCCGGGTGGTGATGATGTGCTGCTGTTGCTTGCTGAGCTTGCTGCTGTTGCTGATATCGTTCATAGTAGTAGTAGCTTTTTGCATCATTCAGTGCTTTGTTGTTGTTGCTGCTGAAGTGCTCCGGCAGATCATCCAGATGTTCCATCGGCTTGAACTGCTTGCCCATCGACTGCTGTTGTTTATCTCTGCTGGCGCTCACCGGTTGAATGGTCAACTGTTTGCCCAGTGATTTGATGCTCAGGTCAATCTCTTGGACCTTTGTCTCTGGCTCCAGCATGTTCATCTCGTCGTCGGTGAAGCGATCGTAGCGGTCTAAAAAATAAAGTTTGGGTTAGTTTAATCGAAATTTTTTTCTAAACAACAGTTGCTACTACGTACCGTTTTGGACTTCTGGCAAAGGTGGGTCATCCTTGTATATTTTGCCCGATTTAATCTTCAGCATCAGACATTTGGAGGAGTTCTGATTGACGATGACAACGTTGTCCTTTACTTCGTGTCCCTT